TGTGGTCTGAGCCATGGCGCGCGTGGCTGTCATCGGCTGTCAACAGCGGCTAGCGTGACGAGCATCACTCACCTTTCTGTCAACGCGCTTCACGCACACGCGCCTGCGCAGATGGAGCCGCACGCGATTCGTCTAACCGGTTCCATCGACATTATCGCGTTCTGTTCTTCCACGTTTTCTTTCCGCGACGTTTGCGCTCTTTTAGTTCACCCTCAGGGGTTGTAGCTATGTTTAATTGTAGCTACGGTACGGATTTAGCGATCTCGAGGTAGCTAAGCTACAGAGGAGACAGTAGAACTTGGGAAACTACATTTTTAAGGAGGATGTCAGAAAATGAAGGGAATGTAAAGCAATGTAAAGCAATGTAAAGCAATGTACAGCGATGTAAAGAAAAATGTTAAGGTAGTTGTTTCGTGGATTTATTTAATGGAGAATTTTAACAAAACTTCGCTCGATTATTCTTTGACTAGATATGAATCGTGTGAGCCTAGATTGGAATGAAAGTTAGTTAAAACTGCAATAATTAGAATTAGATATTTCATTCTATCTGTGGATGTATTCAAATGTAAATTTTATGTGATTAATTTGCAAAAAAGAATTTACATAGAGACATCAGGCCGTCCGCACACGAAGCTACTCAAAAGAAACTGATTAATCGAAATACAATACCTGTTGAAGTATCGAAGAACTTCTTGTAAGATTAACATATAAAATTTCGCCATTGTGTCTAAAAAAATTACTCTTCTAACTTTGTTCAATTACGCTGAGAACACAGCCACTTTTTATTTACTAGTGAGACGTTCGAGTTTGAGAAAACGTTGGCGTGTTTTAGAACCTCAAGGGACGCTCGCCACTAGGATTATACTCGTTGACACACGCGTTTGGTAATTATTCAATTCGGCCTGTCCTGCGGTCCCACACAACCGAAGACAAATGTACTTCGTTTCCAGCACGCAGTGGAGTAATTTACTGGTGCGAGGCTTTCGACTGGATTAGGACCCGCGATGGGCAGACGTATTTTTAGTCCTCTAGTAACGAATTCGAACAACCGTGACGCTTTGTCTCCCGAACAAACTCCACGGAAATTACGAAGCAGCCAGACAGTCGAGGTATCGAGTTCTAAGTTTGATACAAGAAGTGTGAAGCGATTAATTCCAAATGAAATATCGTAAAAATGAAACGCTTTCGATAGGTTGTTTTAATATTCTTGTTTCATCTATGTACTTGGTATGCAATTCAAGTTTCGTGATGGCATCGTGAAAAAATGATCTAGCTTTATGGTTTTTGTCTTGTACATATACAATATATATACGCAAAATGTATGAATTTTTGTTGTGCTAAATTTATGCAAACATGCCAAGTATATGCTCTATTTATGTGTTTAATACATGTATATACATAAAGTATGTGTACTCGTGCACCGAATACATGAAAATATATACACACTTACATTTTGAATACATGTAGATCTTCAAATATGTGCCCTAATATGCGCAATTCATGCAAGTATACACGCCTATATGTTAAATGCATGCAAATATGTTAAGGACATAAACTATGTACTTGTATCCTGAGTACATGTAGATATGTAAATATATGCAAATGTGTAAATATATATGCTTGTAATGGTGAATACATATAAATGTGCAAAATATACGCAAATCTGCGCAACATGATCAACAACGACACAATAACCGGCCTGCCCAAAACGGGGCCCATCGGAAAACAGTAAACTTGACCAATAGAAAAGGCGAGATTATTATTGCAACCAACCCACCACAAACGATCGCGACTGTATTTTTATCTCTCCTTGTTTAAACGCGTTGTAGCCAGTTCTTTGCTCCGAAAATACAACAATTTACCGTCGATAAAATTCCGGAGGAACGCGAGACGCTGTCCGACATTAAAATCAACAGTAGAACGACGGAATGTTAGAATTCTTAAAGACCGGTTTCGACGATTTGCCATGTATGACTTGTGTCTTTGTTTATGGCGCTATCTCTTCCTCAATTAAACGAACTTATTCGCTGTGTCCGAGCGAAAACCACGGCAGGAATTAACGAGCCGTAAAATTCGTGACGTTAATAATGACATTATTGCACCGCTTCAATCCAAGGTCTCCCCACCTCCGTGGCATCGAAATATAACCGAAGAGGATGATGTTTGCGGTGGCATTTTTAGCAACTTTTATACCATCGTGCGTGCGTACCGAATTATGGTCTCGTTCGCCTCGCGCGCATCAGGACTTTTAAGGTGGTCCAATTCTTCTTGGAGCCTTCTTTTTGGTTAATCCACTCGTGCACGGGTTTTTTTCCATCGACCTGGAAACGATTTTATGACATATGAACGTTTGTCGCCGTCTAAACGATGCAACCTGATCGTTCACCGAATCCTGACGTTTCGAATAAACTCGATTCGTAGTTCGTCACTTGGGAGAATTATACGATACGCAAGGTAGTAGGTTGCTGGGTGAAATTGGAGCGAAAGTGCGCGGATAGGTTTGTACAAACATGTGCTTCAAGTTTTCTTACTTGATGGGAGTCAGATAAACGTATGGAATGTTGATAACATATTTTTGTTTCTACTTTTGCTATTTTCATTTCCATTTTTCTTTCAATATATTCATTGTAGATTGCAAGTCATCGGATTGTTTTGTGTTAATAACGATATTTAATTGAATAGAGTTATTGTAAACTGGAAAAAAACAGTGGAAAATTGATGAAAACTAAAGAAATGGAAGAAAACTGATTAAAGAAAATCAACGAAACCATGCAAAACTTAATCAAACCTGAACAAAACTAATCGCAACTGTAGTAAATTCAACAAATTCAACAAAACTGAAGGAAATTGAAAAAATTTGAAGGGAACTGCCAAAGTAGTATCCTAGGTACATCGACGCTAAGCTATAATATTATTACACGAAACACACTTTGCATATATCTATGCAGTATATACCTGAGGATACCGGCGCGAAGTTATTATACTATTTACTAAAATGCAAAAATGCTCTCGCAGAAATCAACTCCAACGAATTTTTTGAAGATCGAGTTCGATGATACGTATTTCAATTTTCATTTACCAAAACATACGAAAATTGTACAAATCTTATCGATGTGATACGTAATTAGATGAAATCTACGTTTGCAGTGTACGATATTGAATTTATATTTTAAAAAGAATTCGAATGAGTAGTATATACCACTCTGTCACTTGTCTCCACTCTTTTTTCTTTCTAGGGGATTAATCGTGTTTGGCAAATGAACGGCTCAATTGCGGAGTGACGCCAAGTACGCAGTAGACGTTTCAAGTAGTGTTAGTCAGTGGTAAACGGGGAACTCTGCCGAAAATAACATTCATTGATTTCGCGTTCTGAATGAACGAGCGTTCGCAGGAGAACGAGACAGTGTAGTGGACCGTCGAGAAAAGGGGTTGTAGTGGTGTGGAGCCATCGAAGAGAATGGCACAATATCTAAGAATGTGGAAGTTTCGCTTCCTTGAATTACGTTCAAACGGATGTACAGGGTGTCCTGTATTCTACGATACTAACGAAGACATTCGACTTGGTTACAGAAACGATGCAGGGGGATGGAGACCAACCTTCCAGTGTGCGACATATTTTTTTGTGAAGTGACTCAGCTGAGAAAAGAGGGCTAACCTAATATTTTCTTGAACGGAAGGTGGGATTAATTGCCTGTTGTTTAGATTAGTCTTATAAAATTGAATAACACTTTCTTTTTGTTATTTAGAATTTTTGTTATTTAGATTCTTTTGGGGCTATGTAAAACATACGTTCGTAGCAATTCCTACAAATCAAGAAAGCAAGAGTACTTCCTGCTCGTGACGCTATATTATCAGATGCTCGAGTATTTGTAAAAAAACTTACCAAGTGTTCGGTAGCCTTTCTTTCCGTTGCCCCCCTATCGATACACATCTATCGCCATAACTCTCTATGTACGATTTTAAAAACCAGTTCAAGCAAATGTTATTTTGTCTTGCAAGAGTTATCCAAGTAACACAAAATTAATTCCAAATTCCATTTGAGAGAACTTAGGGAGCCCCTGTAATGGTAAGTCGAAAAACTTTTAAAAGATTGCTCTCCCTATGTTATTTAACTGTAGCAAGAATTGAAGAGGATTTCTTGGTTGGTACATGAGAGAGCAGCTTGTAAAGCTTTGTACGTGACACCCTGTATACTTACGGCTCTTGTATAGATCCCTCTCATGGCTGGGCAACCACGTACCGCCTACGCTCTGTCGTAACATCATCTTCGATTTTGGAGGACGTTACAGGGATAAATATCGCGAATATTCTAGCAAACAAACGCGGATCGGGGAGGATTCTGGTTTATCGTCTGCGTTATGCGTGGATGTTGTGGTAAACGTGATCGATGATGGAGATTCCCTTTTGGTACGTGCTTCGCCATCGATGCCACGTGGATTTCGGTATCGCGTAGATCCTGTAGATCATAAAATTAGCGGCCGAATGGAAAAATTTCAAATATGGAGATTGCATGGTAAAATGGGGCCCATGTTTCAGCGCGAAGGAATTTTTGTTAACTTTGTTATTTAACGAGATATGATGGTCAAGTTTCGTTTTTCAAATGAAAGTATATATTTTGGTTTTATACCACGCGATAGTACTTCTCAAGACGAATTCATTAAGCTTTAATGTATTTATCCGATTTTTATTAATTTTGAAGGTAGAACGCTTTGAAGTTTGCTAATTTTCAAGGAAAAAACTCGGTTCGGCCCCGGGCGGTCCCATTGATGCATTAAGCACCATGCGGTTCTTGAAATCGATACGGAGCTTGGGATTCTAGGCCCAACGAAGGAAAATGGGAAGAATCCCAATATTCTAGGAAGGTACATCTTTATGGACGTTAAAGTTGGAGGTAAAGATAATCACTTTCATTTAGTTTTTATAAATTTTCTTTAAATCTCTTCAGTTTTGTTCAACTTTGCTCAATTTTCATCAGTGTTCTTTAGTTTTCTATAGCCTTCTTCAGTTTTCTTGGATCTTCTTCAGTTCCTTTCAATTTTCTTCCCTTTCGCCTTGGATTTTCTTCAATTTTTTTTATAAATTTTCTTCCCTTTTCCTTGGATTTTCTTCGGTTCCTTTCAATTTTCTTCACTCTTTTTTATTTTTCTACCGCTTCCTACAATTTTCTTTCCCCGGTTCTTGAAAAATCTTAGAGAAATGCCATCTTCCTTCAGCCCCTTGTCGACACGGACTTCATTAATTTTCACAAATAGCTCCCTAACAGCGAAACATCGGGCAAAATTAATTATCCAAACTTGCGTTATTATTTGCGTCCACACACCCCTGGTGCGCGCGTGATGCATACGTATAACCCCATGCGTCTTCAAGTTTATTTTATGCTTACCATGCCCGGGCCTGCCTCAACACCGCCTCTGTTCCTCTCCTTTTCTTTGCAGCCAGTATAATGAAACGGTAATTCCCCGTCGCACGTGGTCGACTCCACTGTATGCAACTGGCATGGCGAGAACGTTGTCTCAGTCTCAGCGAAAACGGTGCTAACCGCGAGACCGTACTTTGGGTCTGGTGAAACGATTCGTCCGTGCTCCGATTTGTTTGTGCTTCGTCACCCGCGACAGCTTTATCGCTTGTTTTACCTAGAGTTCAGTATAGCAAAGCGCCTAGCTGCGCGAATAAAAATTCAAATTACTAATTACACGTGACGAGAAATATCTCTAAATACACTCGGACGATTGGACATCGATTTCGATATTGTGTCGCGGAGTTGTGAGATCAAAGTTGTGGATTAATTTGAGAAAAGTATTAGATACAACGTTACACCGAATACATTTGTCACGTGATGCATTATGATTTAACGAAGGAAGCAATGGAATTGCACGAACCCTTAGTAGCTGTGTTTGATTAGATGCAGTAAGTGCAGTTTTGCTTGTGAAATTTCCTTTTATATTTTTTTGATAGTCTGTTAATGGATACTCATGGTACCAGGGACACCGTTGACGTCAGACCAGTTTACGCCAATGGTATGTCGTGATTCGTGGTGCACTTTATTTTTAGTTTCATTACGCCGGCAGTGAATTTTATTGGGAAATTTTATCAGGAAATTTTCATTGTCCATTAAAATATGGATTTGACAGTATCGGCATGCTAAGTTAATTAAAGGCGAAGAAAATAATTGAATCGTGTTGCTTAGTTGATCAAGTTGACTTTGCCTATTGTCGTCAACTTAGAGATTCTTTTGTTATGTTCATCGATTAAAATAATACGTAAAAGTGTTGCTCCTAGAAAATTTGTCAAAATTTGTGAAAAAAAAACGTTAAATATACGAAGTCAAACACAGTGTGAAAACTGTTTATTACTTTTCAAAACGATATGATTATTGTCTTCAGAAAATATAACTAAAATGAAGGCTTTCTAAAAAATTGATACATATGTTTTCCTGGTATATCAAACTAGCATTTACTATAATAAATTCCCTGCACAAAATACTAATTCTTTAGGTAGTTAATTTGGATCGTTTAAGTATTTCAATTTGTATCCTAGAAATACTTATAAAAAAATTGAGTAAAAATGCTCTAAATATTTTTTACTCGCTTTAGAATAAAAATTAAACACGGAAACGTTAACACCAATTTTCGAATCATCTGGTATATTCGTTCTTCGACGACGAACACGTCACGACTTAACCAAAGTATAATCGTTGTTCGTGCGTCACCGAAGTTGCGTCAGATGAAAAACAGATCGATAGAATTTCGTCGTGGAAGAGGAGGTCCAGAAACGATCATGGCAACCGAAAGACGCGACATTTGTATTTTCCACCACTACTTTCTCGAGCTACTTTGAGTCGATTCATCGCGTCATAAAGGATTTTCTAAAAGAAGCTTTCGCGCTTCCTTTTTCGATAACAGAGTAATCAATAAATTTATTAATAATAATCACGAATTATTACAATTACTAACTGTCTAAAAGTAGCTTTCGTGCTTCCTTTCTCGATAACAGAGTAATCAATAAATTTATTAATAATAATCACGAATTATTACAATTACTAACTATCCCAATCATCGATCGTCACGATTATCGATTATGAAAGCCATTAATCGTCGTAAGTGTCATTATCCTTGGCAAAAACCATAATCGTTATTTATCACAATCGCCAATCATTACAATTTTTAATTACCTAAAGCACCGATCATTACGATCGCCAATTATGAGAATAGTCGATCATCGCGGTCATAAATGATCACAAATGGAATCAACACGATTATCACAATCATCGATCGTCGGATTCATCAATTGTCTCACTCAAATACTTTTAGATATATACGTTTTTTTTATTCAAAGCTTCCCTTCAAATTCAATTCTGCATTACGAGTGTATCACTGTTGTTACTATTTTGCAGTATACTTCTTCCATATTAAATGTGTCTTCGGAGAAGAGTGCTGCTAAATATTTGCAATTGCACTGGCTTACAAATACAAAGTGTTCTTTTCTAAATAAAACGTTCTTGTCATGTCCCTGTGAACAGTTAAATAATCTTTAACATTTAATTGCAATCATATGTACTTTCATTTAAAACACATTCAACACATTCAGTATCATTCGTGCTTCGTTAAAATACAAAATCCTGAAACCGCTTTTGGCACACCCTTTATCTTGGAATCACGATCTCTTTGCTTGCCCCCGGCCAAACTTCCCCAATCTATGACCTTTCTTTTCCGAAGTTCATGGTCGTACCAAGCTAAAATTTTCTACGCAATTTTGTGTAGTTACGAAGCGTACCACCCAACAGCAATTTTATTCAAATCCGTCATGACCAGACTGCGGATCTTTACGCGTGTATTTACAGGAAATAATAACGTGCAAGAATATAAGAGAAAGCATCAGAAAGTAAAGCTGGTATTACAATATTCCCCGAGTAAAAGAAATTCCTATTTAGGTTCAATTTTCGTAGGTACGTTCGCGGAGATTTTATTTATCACAAAGATCCGGAGTCCAATCATCGTTATTCTTACGAGGATTCTTGTTCGTCAACTTGTTCGAAAATTTGGAGGGAAAGAGGAGTCCGTTCGTACGCCGGACGAGAACACAGGAACTTACGTTGGTGTCGTTCGACCCTTGCGTTTCTACGCCCACTCCTATGAATCAGTGGATGAATGAGCCGACTTCGCCCCACTTTTCCACGCGTGGGAGTATCGTATCAGCCGGCAAGTCTGACATTTTCACGTCGCAACCACCCCTGGCCAGGTCAGCATCGCGGCGACGTCGTGGGCGTTGCTGACTCTATATCTACACCTACGTGGTAGACAGAAGTCTGGCCGTACGACCACGCAAAAATCCATTCCGACGGACCGCTAGGATTTGATAGGAAAACAAAATCGTATCGTCGCGGATGCCAAACCGCGTCGACCGCTCTGCACACACGAGTTATGCCAGATATCGTTTGCCATGCGCCCCTGAGGGCTGTCGATCACGCTAGCTCTCAGCGTCATCTCTGTGTGTGATGCGGGGTGGAATCGTCATTGAAGCACATCGGTGAACTCGACAGATGAAGTGATGCATGTTTGGAGTTGGCCTAGGTGGACCACTTTCGCTTGGAAATTTTTCAGTTCGGATTTTAACGAATCGACTCGCATCAATTGCAAGAAACAAAAATGATCAATCGTTGCATTCGTCGATAATTGGAATTATATGACTCGTCACGATATTATTGGTTATCGTAGTTATTTACAATCACAATCGGCAATTTCAGCAAACGTAAATTGTTATAGTCGTCAAGTATTACAAAAATTAGATTATAGTATTGCGAATCATCGCGGTTACAAATTATCACAATGTTGATCACAATATTCACATTGGCGAATATCGACGGGTAAAAGGTGTACCAGATAGTTGATATATTCGTGCCACTTTCTTTTCCATTGGCGAAAATGTCGCAATCGTAATCCTCGATCGTCACAATAATCAATCGTTATCGCGTTTGTAAATTGTTGTAGTCATCAATTGTCACACACGTTAGTCAATACAATTGTGAATCGTCACAATCATCGATCAATATTCACCAATGTTGATCATGATAATTACATTGGCGAATTCTACAGATAAGGGATGTATATGTAGGACTTATTTAACTGGACCACACAAATTATCAGCAATAATCGTAATAGTCACGATGATCACAATCGCAAGTTGTAAAAGTTGCATTCTACTAGTAGCTATCTATCGGGTCTACCGGAAAGTTCTGTCCGTTTTTAGAATAAAACAAAATAATAAATTTCTCATAGCTTGAATAAATTTGATTGGAATAATATAATTTCTATCGTTATTTATGACATCTTGCCAGCGTGATTGCGATTTCTGTGTCATTTTTGACGAATATGCGCATACTCGTTGAAACTTGTTGTAACCGTAATGGACAGAACTTTCCGGTAGACCTGATACGATCACAATCATCGCGATCACAAATTATTACAGTCGTTAACCATCCCAGACATTAGTCAGTACAATTTTAAATCGCAATAATAAATTATCATGACAAATGCAACGATCTATTTATAAGATAAATCTAGGAAAGTCACATCACACTTTCAGAAACTCACGGTTTCAATTCAATTGCCTCAACATTGGACATCGATATTTTTGAACATTCTAATTAACCAAAAATTGTTCAAAGGGTATAGATTTATTTCGCTAAAAAGCGTGGTACACCCTTGCAATTATCACTATCATGTAACAACAGGTTCCAATATAATTCAATAATCGCCAGTTCATCCTGACGTGTTAGTGAACCGAATCGCAAACGGCTCCGTGAAGAATGAAGCGAAAGAGGGGCAAGCGTCGTGACCGAGATCAACCTGACGAGAGCCCTACTTTCTGATTGCAATTAGCGGTTGCATAAGCCAAAAATATTTGGGCTGGAACTGCGACACGATGCAAATGTGGACCGTTCCGCGGCCATGGATCCGGAACCACGAATGTTTCTCTCCTTTTCTCCCTGATGCTCCAGCACTCGTGGACGTCCTCTATCCGGATATCCTATACACCACTAAACACAATGCACCGTCTGCTATTTCTGGCCGTGCGCCATTGTCGATAACCTCTGCATTGTCGACCCGATGATGGGAGTACCAAGATAGGAATTCCGTCTGCGAGCTGTTACCAGAATCCTGGTTGCCGTCTGTCGTCGACGGTTCGTGAAATCGGTCGAAATTCGTGGCTCCTCAGCGACGGAAGCGCGGAAGGTCGAAGGTCGCCCTGGGAAGCTTAATCGAAACGAATGACATTCGAGGGTGAAAAGTGTGCGCCGGCATTAGGCGAAGAAATCAATTTTTTGGCGCAATATCGCAACGAGTTGCAGTAACAAAGAATTTATGTAACAATCTTCATAATTTTTATATAATAACAATTATATAATAGTCCTCAGTTATGGATTTTTTATCGTCAGCCATCTGTCGTTAGGTTTATTAGTTATATTAATCAGCAGTCGTTCCGATCACCTATCGTTGAATCAGTTACTTTAAAAGTTTAGTGTCAAAGTCATCTATCATCGCAATCATTAATCGTTATATTTATCAATGGTCACGACCACATTCGTTATCACAACAGTCTGTCACCATAATAACAAAATGATCGCTAACGTTCATCGTAACATTCACAGTGTTTACTGCAGTCATCAGAATCATTATAAGAATCGCAAAACCGAAGTAATGATAATATACGTAAAGATAATCGAACCAGGAATAATCAAAAGAACCACAAAAATCAAATGCACCACGATAATCACAGATACAATTACCACAATCGTTTATTGTCACAACTACGTATTATCGGATTCATCGATATTATCACAATCAGAAATCGTCCCAGTCGCCAATGGTGGAACGCAGCAATCTATCAAGTATCACAATGACAAATTAATACAGTTATTGTTCGGTGTATACATTTTACAGAATCGTAAATTCAAGCGTACCAAACGCTGACAGAAATAAATGTCTGCAAACGATTCTGTCTAAAATTGTAGTGCGCATAACTCTAGCGACAAAAAGCAGCGAGAGTTTTATTCTCAGAATAAATATCGT